AAAAACAAAAAATAGTCAGTTATCTCTCGCTTGTCAACAGAGACAGAATATCGAGTACTGGCACATGGCACATGTGAGATTATCTAGCTACGATCGATCTTCTTGGCGAGTTGAGATTTTCAGTCATTCTTCATCATACATTATATTGTGATAATCGATCTGCTATTCAGCTTGCTTCTGACTCTGTATTACACAAGAGGAAGAAGCATATAGAGATCGATATTTATTTTCTTCGGGAGAAGATTAGCAGTGGTATTGTCACTCCATTGTTTGTAAGGACTAGTGATCAGGTTGTAGATATTTTTACCAAACCTGTCACTCTATCCATTCTTCGGAACTCTGTTGTCAAGTTTGATATAGTTGACATTTTTGCGCTTAGCTTGAGAGGGAGTGTTGGAGATATAGCAGCAGCCTAGTTTATTAGGGTTTATTAAGTTTTCTCTTATTTATCCTTTTATCCTTATTGTAACTTTCATTGGCTATATATATGGGGCTCTACACTTAGTTTGTATTTCATTCACTCACAAATATTTCTAGTGATATTAAATTTATACGTTTGATATATTTCATGTATTTTGATGTATAGTACAGTCAAGAAAATTATTTTGCTTCAAAAAGCAGGAGTCTAGAGATGGGTCCACCATAACACTAGCATAGCCAAGACAGAAAGAAGAGAGATTAACGAATTAATCATGTACATATTGTACAGGAATGTTTAATTCTTGATTTGTTGTAAAGTGCGAAATTCCCAATGTTTTTATCTGATATTATACCATTATGTATTCGGCGATGTATTTTATCTCTTTTATCAGAATAGTAACAGTGGTACTTTTAAATTTCTTGCATTATTGCAATATAGGTGGATGCATTGCCATATGTCAAATTTATACTTCATCATAGGGAAACCAAATAGGTCTCTCAGAGTGGGGTGTGACAAGTTGGTTCTTGCATCAGGCAAGGGAAAGGTAATAGGAGTACTCAAAGCAAGTTTCTCTAGGATGCTTTATTTTATGCCTTTCTATAAGGATGCTTTATTGTATTTTATTTTATTTTATTGTGGTTGGACTTGATAAGTAGATTTGCAAAAGGTTGTTGAGTGCCCTGAAGAGATTCAGCTAAAAGGAAATTTCTATATCTTTATTTGTTACTCTGCTTAGATAGGAATGAAAAAGTTTTACATGATCGTTATCTTCCTATTAGACTTTATCTTATCTTGACCTAGACTTTGTCTAGGATATAGCTGTGTTCCTCACTTCCTTATGAACCATGTCTATTAGTAGTGTCTTAGGGGCGTCCTTGTCAAATTCTCAACATGATTGGAAGGCGATTCTCTTCAAACTTTTTCGCTCTTTTTCTTTTTTTTTTTTTTTTTTGGATCAGAATACAATTAGATTTTAGGCCTAGCACGTAAACACTCTTTTAATAATTAGGGTAGCGGCAAGATTCAACACAGGACCTCCCGTTCTGATACCATCTTAAATAACCATCTACTCCAACATCTTATACTGTTGGAGAGGGTGTAAGTTAAATATTTATACTTCAACAAACAAGAGATCGTCCAAAAAGACATAAAAAAAGAAAATAAAGCTTTGATCATCAAGCAAATTAAATCTCACAAAAAACTATACAATCTGTCCTAATCAATAACAAAATAGTTCTATCAAACTTTAGAGAGATTGAAACTATTTTCGTACTCTTTGTATTTTTTTTTCTTCTTTTGGATAAATAAATTGTCTTCAGTCCCCCCCCCCCCCTCTCTTTGTATTTCTTTTCTTCATCAATAATATTCTTTGTTCACTTAAAAAAATTATTCTGGACAGAACAACTGCAGGGTGTGTGCCAATCCTGAAACATCCGAGAGAGACAACTGCATATATGAAACCACTATTGCCTCAGAATACACCAGGACAAACAAGAAGGTTTCAGTAAGGATAAAGAACGAGAAAAATATCAAATTGATATAAAAGTTTAAATACCAAAGACTAAATCACTGATGCCTGAAGCAGAGAGGAGAACAAAGTCACTGCACAGCTTAGTCTAAATGTAATATGAAATATATTTTTACCTTCACTCGAGTCATCTTAAATAGGGCAGTGAATTTCATAGGTTGGGAGGAAAACTTTTCTCCATTATCCAAGGCAAAGAGAAATGATGGATCAAGCAGTTCACTGCAGAATTGCAGAGGCAACATGTATAAAAGAGTGCATTTCTACATATTTAGCAGTATAAATTCAAATCAGAAGGCAAGGGCATACCTAGCCGCCCAACTTTTGTAGTACGTGAAAATAATGTCACACAACTTCGAGACAAATATATCAAAACAATTGTCAACCTACAAATAAAATTCAAAAAATGATGTTCTAAAGCCTTGAACATTTTGAATAAGGAAAAAAAAAAGCAGCAGCAGTAGAGGCTGCTGGCACATAAATCCGACACAAGGACTTCAGATAGGATCATCGTTTGAACTTAAAACAAGAGTTAGTCACCACTGCACAGTCAGGATCAGTGACTGTAAATTTGGACCCAGACTACAGCAACTCCCTAAAGACTACAGCTATGGTTCCAGTAAAAGAAAGTAGTTTATTGAAGCATATTCTCATCCCCCCACTCCCAAAAACGAAAAAAAAAAGCATCCGTCTAAATCTCATTCACCACCACACAAAGTGGACAAAGAAATTACAGTTTCCTTCACAAAAGTAGCAGTCAGAATAAAGTTATCCTCTTACTTATGTTCATTACCTCTGGCACCCTCTCAACTTAGCACTTCTGTGAAATTTTCTCTGATAACAGTGATAAGTGTACATCTACAGATTGCAGCTCAGGGGTACTAGCAAAATGTGATCCATCATTCCAGTCTAGAGGGAAGGACCCTCTGCCCTCTGGCGTCCATGGGCACTATTCATCTATAGAGGAAAATTATAATTTCTTCTCTGAAGTGAAACAGAAATAGAGACCTCTTAATAAAGATGAGAGTACTCCCCCAAAATATAAGCCTGGACGGAGAAGTCCACCAACATATTTCAGCTTCTAGGATAGTGTAGAGATTATGATATTTGCAGTGCAAAGTGAGGTTCTATCTCACATTGAACGATAAGGATCACCAAGGATGAATTATATGGCCAAGGGATCTCTTCACTCATTACCAATTGGTTTTGAGTTGCATGCTCTAACATGGTATCAAAGTTGGACCTTGGGTGATCAATGGATCAAGTCTCCTACTCATTTCAATTTTCTGGTATGCATGTTTGACTAGTTGTTTGTTAACCCCATGTGCAAGCCAGAGTCCCATGTAAGATATGGTCTAAACTCTAAAGGGATATTATATCCCAAATTTAATGTTTAAGATCACCCAAAGTTGATCTATATTGTTAAGGGGCCTCCCTTTTCATTGCCAATTGGTTTTGCATTTGATACTCTAAGATGGATAACATCCAGAGAAAACCTAAATGAAAATACAAGTAAAATGAAATGTCTACACATCAGACAGCAGACAACCATCCACTTTTTGTTAATTCAATTTCGAAAATCGTTTACCTCAGCTTCAATTTCATCGTAGAGAAACCGTTGCTTGAGCACAACTAGTGCATGCTGAGCCGAATCATTATAGATATCAAACGGGATCAAAACACTCTCAAGAAGGCCTGCATTTTGGGAATCAATCATATGATCTACCAGCATCCAGGGAACTGAGCACTCAATAGGAAACTGCATATGAGCAACATTCACATTTCCTTTGGGGTCAGGAAAAAAAATGATAAACAAATACAGTAAGGGCAAAGAAAGAAAAAGGGACTGAAAGTTGATATCATAGAATTAACATAAACAAAAATTTGACAAGCCGATCAAATTTTTTAAATATAATATAAATAGATGGTGAATAGATATAATGCATGAGCACAACAAGTATTGATTCTAGCTGTTAAGATTGTTAGGGTATTATGTAAATACCACTAGAGGGTATACACGTCTTTTGTATGGTTACGGGTTAAATATAAATACAAGTGATTTGTGAGAGAATGGTTAGGTTTTTGACCACTCTTTGTTTCTCTAATATTGTGTTTTGTTATCTCTCTAAACTTAACATGGTATAAGAGCAATGGATCTAAAATTACTCTGCAATTAATTCAATTAATCTTTCTTTTTTTGCTATTAATCTAATTAAATCATCAATTATTTCTCCCTTTTTCCTCTTGTTATTTCTGGTTCCGTCGCTGGTGCATCCATGGCCATGGCATAGGGTTGTTGTTTGACCAGTAGCCATGGCTAGTGCTTGTGTTGATATCGATTGTGGAAGGTAATGAAATCCGGCGTATGGTGTTCATCGATGTGTGGTTCATCGGTATATGAGATTGTTCGTTGTTGCCAAAGGTCAACATCAAAGTAGTGATTATTGTTGTTCGTCGTGTGGCTGTGGTGATCGCAGTGGTAGCTTTCTTCAACCCTGAGTAGTGGCGGTGATGTGCGCCACTTGCGTGTTCAAAATAGGGTTTCTAACCCTTGCAGCGAAGGAGACTGTTTCTCCTTTGGGCCTAAAACAAGCCCAAAATTTATTTAAATTAGTTAGCCAAGTTCAGACCGGCCCAGCCTGTTCTCAAACCAGTTTAGCTTCTTCTCAAACAAGTTCAGTACCAGTTCACCCCGGTTCATCTGATTAGCAGGTGGTTCTAGTCCGATTCAGCACTCCAATGGAGTCACTCAATCCAATTCGTCAATCTAGCAACATTGTTTGGTCCAGTTCAGGGCTACAGCAGTCTGTCCAGTCTGGTTCAGTGCTTAAGCAATCTTGTCCAGTCTGGTTCATCACTCCAGCAGCCTTATTCAGTCCGGTTCACTGCTTGAGCAGTCTTGTCCAATCCGGTTCATCACTCCAGTAGCCTTGTTTGGTCTAGTTTAAGCACCTAGTCCACTATTCAGTGCTCCTTGGTGTTCTTCCAGCCTCTTCCTTTCACTATAACATGGTTCTTTCTCCTTTTTTCTTTGGTTCTATTATTGCTATACTATTATAGAACCCAACAATAAAAATGATGATAGTCAGGCTGATCTTATTACATCCATGTCACCGAATTTTTCTCCTATGGTTCTACTTGATAGTCCCATGATATCTGTTAAACTCAATGGGACCAATTATGTTTTGTCGTCATGATTTGTTCAAATTTTCTTAGAGGTAAAGGCTTTAAGAAATATTTAGTGGACACTAAATCCAAGGAAGGTGCTCCTAGGTATGATAAATGAGAACAAGAAGATGCTCAAATTATTTCATTGCTATTGAATAATATTAAGCCCAGTATCAATTCTATTTTGTTTTATCTTGACACGGCCAAAGAGATCTAGGATCACTTGGCCACCATGTATTCTGGCACTGGGTATTTCACTTGTGCATATGAAGTATGCAAATAGTATTTTTGTTTGGGGCAGGATACTCTGAGTCTTGAAGACTATTACTCTCATATTCGGGGAGTGTGTGAGGAGTTGAGTTCTACCACCCCTTTACTACTGATGTAGCGATTTGGCAGAAACAACATGAGAATTTGAATGTTGTCCGATTTTTAGTTGGTTTGAAACCTGAATACGAGTCTATTCGTTCTCAGATTTTGGGTGGCTCTAGTCTTCCACATTCATATGCACTTAGGTTGGAGAATAGCCTCGGTAGGTAATACTCTGTTGGGTGTGGCTTATCCTATACTGGAACACATTTCAGGTACGAGGTTTGTACCGGCGGAGGACTCTCATTCGGGACCTCCAAAATGAAGAAAAGGTCGATTTGTGGCCTTTGATCGTGAATTTTGTAAAACTTTTGAGAAAAACATATATTTGACATGTAAATATAGGAAATCGTTGTAATAGAACTTGTATGTATTAAGTCTTATGTGAAAAACTATAGTTTACATGTTTGGGATGTTTGTGAGAAGGTTTGGAATGAATTGAAAATAAAAAATAAGTGAAACAGATAATTCTGGGCAAAACCTTCTGGAAGGTCGCAACTAATCTTCTAGAAGGTTTGGACAAAGACAAGGAAAAATTGTTGGACAGTGGATGAAACCTTCTAGAAGGTCGATTCTAACCTTTCGGAACGTCGATTCTAACTTTTCGGAAGGTCTTCACATTTTTCTAAAATGAGGGAATCCAGTGTGTAACTTCTTCCAGGACGTTGAACACACCTTCCAGAAGGTCAACACATCTTTCTTAAAGATAGGATTCCAGTATGTTCGATCTTCCAGAAGGTTTTCTCAACCATCCGGAAGGTCAACCTTCCGGAAGTTTTATGAAAACCTATCGGAAAGTTCTCAAAAAACTTTAAATTTTTGAATTCTTTTCCTCAATTCTTGGGTAATCTTTCATTTTGTTCAAGGGTGTCCTATGGGATAAAATGGTTATAAATTAATGTGTAAAAAACCACGGTTGTGTGGGTATAGTCCCGATTAAAGGGTTAGCTTCGACGTGATGTCTAGTGGTACGACAATCACAAGTACTTCTGCGGGTTGACAATGGTCAACGGTTGATAAAAAGACCCCCAATTTTTGGGATGTCACAGTTGTTCATTGTGGTGGTGGTTGCGCAATAGAAGACTAGGGTTATGGAACCCTAATCGACGAAGAAGAAAAGGTCCATACCCGACTTCACGGGTTTAAATAAAAGACAACGGATTTAAATTATTTTAAGTCAGCCCAATCAAATCGGGTCCAACCCACTTCAGTCCAAACCAGTTCCATCAACGGGTTTAAATTGTTTTAAGCCCAACCCAATCTGATCGAGTCTAGCCCACTTCGGTCTAACCCAATTCAGCTAGTTCCTGCACTAGTTCAGATTGGTTCAGACCGATTTTGACCGTTTTAGACCATTTTTTACTCTGGTTTAGCGGTCCAGCAAGCCTAGTCCATCCGATTAAGGCTTCCAGCAGCCTCAGCAAGGCCGATTCAGTGGGCCAGAAGGCTAAACCAGTCCGGTTCAGGCTTCCAATAGCCTCAGCAAGGCTGATTCAGTGGTCCAGATGGCTAAACTAGTCCGGTTCAGTGGTTCTCTAGGTCGGTTCAGCCTTCTAGCAGCCTTCTTTGGGCTAAACCAGTCCGGTTTAGCAGTTCTCTAGGCCGGTTCAGCCCTCCAACAACCCTCCTTTCCTCTGGTTTTGCACTGTAGCATTTTTTATTTTCTATTTGCTACACTTTTATGGAACCCAAGCAAGATACCAGGGCTCTTACCCCATCTTTGCCACCTACCACTACTCCTCTAACTCTTATCAATGATCCTATGACCTCGGTTAAACTCAATGAGACCAATTATACTTCATAGTCCCGATCCATTCATGTCTTTCTTCGAGCCAAATGATTAAAGAAATATTTAGTGAATCCTAAACCTGAGAAAGATACCTCTGGGTATTATCAGTGGAAACAAGAGGATTCTCAAATTATTTCTTTACTACTGAATAGCATTGAACCTAGTATAAGTTCTACTCTACTCTACCTTGACATTGCCAAGGAAATATGAGATCACTTGGCTACTATGTATTTTGATACAGATAATTTTACCCGAGCTTGTGAGATATACAAGGAATACTTCTGGCTGGAACAGAGTATTCTGAGCATTGAGAATTATTACTCTCACGTTCGAGGAGTCTGTGAGGAGATGAAGACTTACCATCCGTTTACTACTGATGCAACAGTTGGTAGAAGCAACATAAGGACATGAATATTATTAGATTTTTGGTAGGATTGAAACCTGAATATAAGGCTATCCGTTCTCAGATCCTGGGTGGTTCTAGTTTTCCCTCATTATTTGAGGTTTTCTCTCGTATACAGTGTGTTACTTTGTCTACTTCAGGTATCAATCATGGTATTTCCACTGATCGCTCAGCTCTTTTGGTCCCCAGTAGCCATATTGATGGTCATCAAGGTAATCGTGGTGGTCGAGGAGGTAGTACAAGTGGTCGTAGGGGTTGTACTGGACCTCGTTCCTGTACTCACTGTAGCCGTGGAGAGCACACTATTGATTTCTGTTGGGATTTACATGAAAAACTTTCGGGTGCTACGAATCAGGCTTCCTATCAAGATGACATCTCTGTTGTTGTTTCCGTACCTTGGTTAACTCCACTAGACACTGGGTCGGTTATTATTACACGAGAAGAGTATGCTCAGTTTCTGTCCCAGTAGCTGGCTTTCCTATCTCCCTCCACTATTACTTTTGCCCAGTCAGGTACTGCTTCCACTTGTTTATTATCCTCTACTCGTAGTCCCTAGATCATAGACTCTAGCGCTTCTGACCACATGACTAGTGCGTCTAATGTTTTTTTTACTTATCAGTCTACTACTTCCACACGTAATGTTACTCTTACTAATGGTACTTGTTCTAAAGTTTCAGGTTTGGGGACTACTCACTTGAGTCTTGATATGTCCCTATCTTCTGTGTTATTTGTTCCTCAGTTTCCTTTTAGTTTACTTTCCATTAGCAAGATTACCGTTCTCTCAATTGTTCTGTAACCTGTTATCCCTCTTATTGTGTCTTTCAAGATCTCAAGACGAAGAGGAAGATTGGTACGGGAAATAAAGTTGGCGGTCTATATTACCTTGACTTTGATTCACCTACCCAGGCTTTATAGACCTCGTTGTCTCCTTTTCAATGACATTGTCCTCTTAGACATCCCTCTCTCCAGAATCCGAAGTGCCAAGTTCCCAGTCTTAGTTATGTGTCGTCTTTGTCTTATGAAACTTGTCAACTTA